AAGCAGTACAACATTTTGCGGCAACGACAAAATGTGAGACATTTGTTTTTATGTTTATTTATTGTTTTTATGTTCAGTCTCAACTGTTACGAAGTTGATGTGCAGTTAATAAGCGCAATAAATATTTATACTGGAAAAGAAAATCGTGAGAGAATGTGATCTCAATTCTAAGCAAAAAAAATCGTGATTCTCATTTTATGCAAAATCGTGCAGCCCTACTGGATACCATTATTTCCGGTGCAAACTGCAAATCAAGATGTCACTTTGTGCTCCAGAGCAATTGTCCAAAAACTTTTTTAAAACTAACAGTTCAATATCCTTTCTACACTTTCTGTATAAAACTATTAATATTATGAGAACTTATATCACCACATGTCGCTTTTGCTGTTCCAAGCTCCAAAATTGCCTGTAGGCCCCTTAAAGTTTAACAAGCAAAGTTAAACAAAGGATTAAGTGCTGGCAGAAATGTCACTGAGGGTCTGGATTTCTGTTCACAACCTCAAGCGCGTCACATCTTCAAATAATGCCTAGCTAATTTGAGAAAACTCAAGCACTGAATATGGTGTGAGACCTGACAGGAATGTTTTTAAGTTGCTTGAACATTCTTTGCATCTTTCCTACTCAGGTCCTCACTAAATTCATGGCGGAAACTCTTGTGTACTCCAGCTCTAAGAAATCTCATTGTTCTTATCAGAAAACACACACGCACACACAATATGTCCACAATACATTTTGTAACATGTCGCAAATTATTTTTCAAAGATCCTTCTGACACCTTACCACATTTATGGTTTTTAGCCAGTCTTTTCCATTAGCTGTTGAATTTTCTGATTTCACTGTCAGTATGCGTTTACAACTGAAATTCGAGTCTTGAAAAACATCTTAAAGCACTTTAGCTATTTGTACAACAATTTAAATTGTTTAATTGCAGGATGTTTAACCACACAATTCTGGTACTTCTGAATTCAGTAATGCAAAAACAACAAAAACAAACAAAAAGAAAAACCCTGAGCATTTATATCAAACCGCAAACCATAAGCTTTTCCAGATTTTAGACCCCAGGTGAAAATTCCAGCAAAATGTCAATATTTTTGCAGCTCAGTGCAGATTGTCTCACATTTTACTGCCTCACTGACATATTCTTTAACAAGTTACAGCCATAAGACAATGCGCTGGCTGCACTGAAGTAAACAAAGCTCTCAGATCTACTCCCATTGAGTGTGAGTAATAAAACCTCAGAATGCTGCAGCCTGTGGGCGGCTGGACATTACCAGAAGTATGGCAACTGTAACACTGACCGATGACCCCATCCTCTTCCATCTGTCTTCACGTTTGCCTCCCTTCTTGCTTTGCAAACTCAGTTCAGATAAATTAGGTAACACAAGAGAGATTATAAATTAGTCACTACACATGTCTGTCTTTTTAACAGTATGGGAAAACCACAGCAATGCATTTCTCCTTTTCCATTCAGTTACATATTATAAACGAAAGAAATGTTCTCATTCTCTCGATCAATGTATTCAATGACTTGGAGTCTTATTCCAAGTTTTTTTTCCCTCCCTTCATTCAACTCATGAGCAGAAGTATGACCCATGCATGAAATCACAGTTTATATAATCAGGATATAATTGGAATGTTTGCATCTAACTACACAGCACCTGAATATCTGAGCAGGCGGATGATGAGCACGCTGATCTACAGTTCCAGTAATTAAAAGCGTGAGAAAGAACGCCCGTACTTTTCTCAGTACGGTACAGAGTGCCGTGCAAACAACCTTAAAGTTGTGCGTTACGTATTGCAAAATGAAAACCAACTAACTTTTTACAAAATTGCGTATTTTCGAAAGTGTTGGATGTTAGGTGTCGTCATCCACATCGTGCACAATGGGGGGAAAAGTGACTAACCTTAGCAGGAGAGCTCCTGGTGGCCACGGGAAGCTCCCTGATCGCTGTGCCCGGAGGAGAGGCGGATATCCCGGCTGCGTACCCCTGCAGCGAGCCCCCGGCTAGGGACTGCCTGCCTCCCGCTCCTACTCCCCCTCCTCCTCCGCTTCCTCGCTGGGGCCGCTGCTTGATACCATCCAGGAGGCGAACCAGGAGGATGTTAGCGGGCAGGTCGTCCACCCCGCAGTCCACCAGGATGCGGCACTCCGGGCAGCGGAGCTCGTTCCGGGAGCTGACAATGTTCTCCAGGCAGCGGCGGCAGAAGGTGTGCTGGCACGGCAGCACCTTAGCCGTGGTGTCCAGGCGCTCCAGGCACACCGAACACTCCAGCAGATCCAGCAGTGACGAGGACTCGTCCATGTCGGCGGAGAGGGTGAGCATCTGGGCTTCAGTGTTCGTGGGGACGCCGCGGCGACTGTTTCGTGTACCGTAGAAAAGAACCGGGGGCACAGAACATTCTGGGAGGCGGACTGGCTGGGAAGCAGTCCACGGACGCCCTGCGACGACGGTGTTCCCTCGTGCCGAGCGGTTCCCCGCTGAGTTGTGAATGTTCTCCGCTGTTCCGCGCCTCTCTCTCGCTGTCTCCCTCGGCGTGTTTATGTTGTTCGCTCCGCTCTCCGTGCGTCTCCCCCGCTCTCCAGCAGCTGTGCGGAAAGCGGTGAGGTCACGCTCTCATCATCATCATCCGCGCGCCGATCACAATTGCGGTGCGCGCTCACGCACCAAAGACAGATTGATAAAGACTGAGAGAGCGCGAGAGGGAGAGAGAGAGAGAGACCTTACACCTCAGAACCACCACAGGCATGCAGGCGGCTCCACAGCCCCCCTCGGTAATTACCAGCAGCCCGCTCTCTCACTCCTCACACCTTCACACCGACTGGTTAAGAAGGAAGCTGGCATCGCTCCTTGAAAGGCCGAAAGGTTCTTTGTCATCTCACCTTCTTATACCTGTCATAAACAATTCATTCCTAGTTTTTGATTCTCCAAATCCTCACAGCTCGCAGCATCCAGAGATACAAAAGTTGATTCCTGGACGCTTTTTCTCGATTTTGTTTCCCTATCTGTTCAAATGCGACCAACAGGGCGCGGGCTTGTTCTCAGTCTCTATGCTGTCTTTTTGTGTGATGCCTACCTGACAGGAGAATACATCCTTTTGATCACCTCAGTAACAACATCCAGCTGATGGTTGAGGGAATGGGAAAGGGTGGTTTGTGGCGACGCCTGGCGGTCGTTTCCCGTGACTCCTTAATTTAAATCAATTAGTCAGAGATTCTCAAAGTTTTCGTGACTCAGTGTCAATTTACGGAGTCAATGTACAACTGGGGCGCAGGGGAATAACGTATACATCACGCATTATTAATCATTTTTAATATAAGGAAAGTGTGGTCTGCTATCATAGGTAGAATAGATTATTTAAAACAGGAGTGATGGTCGCTCAGTAGTTATAGTATGACACGAACTTTGGATTAATTACATAGTAGTGCCTTCTTTCCTTGTCGTGCTTGCACATTTGTTCAGAAGTGGCAATTATTCTACGGACAACACTTTAACAACCCTGGTTACGATCCATCCATCCTTTTAACATCTTATCAAATTCAGGCTCATTCAGGCTGGGGACATACAGAGCCTAGCTCATATGACAATGGGCAGCTAATTGCCTCATTATAAACTAGTTGGTTAGCGCAGTGAGAAGGTCCTGGGTTCAAATCCACCAGCCATCCAGAGCCTTTCTTTGTGGACTTTGCATGTTCTTCTTATGCTTATTTCCCGACTCTCCGTGTTAGCCTCGCAATACACTGGCGACCTGTCCAGGGTATACCCTGGCTTTCGCCCAATGATAGCTGGGATAGGCAGCAGCCAACTGGATAAGCAAGTGAAAAATGAATGGTATCAATAGATGGTTATCATGCAAAGCCTCATTATCATTAGTTTCATTACAAATTGTAAGAGGAATGTCACTGAATAATTACAGGATTCTATTTATAGATAACATTTTTGACAGCTACATTAGAAACATGGTAAGATGATTACAATGCCATTTCCTATGAAATGACATGACCTTTATTTAAAGATACAGGGAAAGAAATCTGTAACATTTCCACTGACCTATTCCTGGCATGTGCTATATAATGAGCACAAAATAGACAAAGGACAAGGAGATGTATGTGTGTGTGTGTGTGTGTGTGTTGGGGGGGGGGGGGGGGGGGGGGTGTCCATGTATTACTCATTAGCCAAACTGCATTACAAATCTACATCATGTAAGCTAAATCAGTACACTGGCTTTAGTTTAAAGTTATGTTTAAGTTAAGTTTGGCTAGTATTGTTAATGTTACCACGGGGTATTGCTAAGACAAATCCGCAGCAAATTTCTGTGCAAGTCAATTAAATTCTCTGCGAAGTGACGACAACATGACCATGTGCTCTGTTTCTCAGCCATAGTCTTTCTCAGCTCGTCCACCTGTTCAGACTTGCTCTGCTCTCACATTCAGGGAGTGATTAAGACCACTGTGTGTGTCTGTGCTCATTTGTGTGTTTGCGAGTGTCTATGTCTGTGTGACTAAAGTGACGCCTTCCTGGTTGCAGGGTGAACCCACTCTTTACCACCCACGATGAAAAGAAGAGGGTGTACAGCTTAGGGATACGATAAGAAATAAGGAGTGTATGTGTATGTATGTCAGTGTGTCTGTTTTTGACACAGTATTGCAGGTTTTTCTTCATTTTTATGACAGTATCGGGCTGTTAAAATACACTTACGCATTCTGTACAAAGTTTTAAACACTGAAGAAGATTTCAGAGCAGAGAAGCACAGTTAAAATAATGTAATGAGGCATACTGATTTAAAAAAGCACTCTTACTGGAGTCCATGTGTTTGGTAATGAATGATGTAGAGCTGAACAGATAAAAACTGCAGAAAACTGCATAGCACAGTAAAGGCTATAATAAAGGAGCTGGAAAAGAGGCTTCTATTGCTAACTAGAAAAAGACTGAAATCAAGGGATTGTTTTTTATGCCAGTAATGGGGTTATTTAAAAAAAAAATTCTCTGTGACACAGAGCTCCACTTGCCATTTATCTACAGAGGCCTCCCATTTCCTAAGGTGTATTTGTATGTCTATAGCCACGGAGCAATCCAATGCAACTCAGCTGCTAAAACACATGTATGTTGTTGTTATCAAGCCCTGATTCTCAATACCTCACTAGTGCAGCAGCCCACGAGTGCTGGCAGTGAACCAAAATTCATCCTGTCTCTCTCCCCTCTCGTTATCATACTCACTCCTGTCTTATGCCCAGTGTCTTTCATCTGCTTAATACAATTCTTCACAGCCAATGATTCAGAATTAGAGGGGAACTACAGAGAGAAGTGAACATAAATGATTATTGGATGAAAATCCCCTCAATCCATTTAAGCAGGATCGTCAGGGCTCCCTGTAGGAAGCACTGCTGTCAATAATAGACAAAAGCTGGATGCTGTTTAACCAGGACACGTGTCAATTAGGAATGATAACTAGCTTTCTGCTAATATAAGGGGTTAGTCAATTCTCAGAGAAATTACAGAGTCTAACAATGTTGCAAATCATGAACACACATGCACTCCACATGCTTCTCTGCTGCAGTGCACATGCTGTTGTTTTGCATGTTAATGCTTTCTATTAGATACTGCAATGATGAGCTAAAAGATTATGCAAAAAACGTGTTATTTTTCATGTAATCAGTTAGTACAATAGAGCATTGCATGTAAGTTAAATTATATGTACATTTGTGTTGGGTTTATTTGAATTTTCTTTACATTTCCCAAGGAATGAGCGTCTGAAAATGGCAGATTGCTCAGTGCTTTGCAAAATAAGTTACAGTCAGCCTTGTGAGTGATTTCTTCATGTATTTTGTGCTCTGTATTCAATTTTACTGCATAGTGCGCTGCAATGTTTCACTTTATTGTTAAAATAAATAAATAACTTATTGTTTTTATTACTGCTGTGTAGTTATTTTGCAATTGGATATTGTCCTCTGGGAAATTCTTGCCGTGATGAGCCATGAAAATAAACCTGATTTGTGCTGACCTCACTTCAGCTGCATTTATATTCACATTCCTCCTGCTGGTTTTCCTGCTGTTTACTTCTGCACAAATCTAGTTCACCAAAGTTTCACAGAATCCTATGTTATCTTCATCTTTATCAGTTCTAATTTCATCAGACTAAACTGAAGGAAGATGAAATCTTGTTTGCTTTAGGTATAAAAATATAATAAACATTTACTGTGCGTATAAGTGTGCACGCGTGTGAGTGTATATGTGTAAATGGGTGGATCTTTACCGTGAACCTATACCATACACCTCTCTCTCAGCCGCCAATGACTTTCCTTCATGCAAAAGTAGGTTAGCTGACACGACAGTTACCATGGCAACCGGCTCTTGCTTCCTCACTGAAGAGTGGTGCGTGTGTGTGTTCTCACTGAAAGACTTCCAGGGGTAATGGCAAGGTCATAGAGTCTGTTGTAGGCAGTCTCAGTAGTACAGCGTGCGCATTCCTCATGGCAAAACACCTTTTTTAATGTGTAACAAAAAGTACAATGTTCAAGAGGTGTTGCCTACCTGCGATGTGACACGTACAAAGTTATTTTTTTATTTTCTGTGGACTCTGACTGCTCATAATAATATTGAAACACACAGTAACCCTGAGATCAAGTGGGAAGCCTGTATAATTTGTGGTTGTGGTTATTAATATGAATCAGAAGAGATCAGTGGTTGCATTTTTATTCTGTCTTTTAAATATTCGGATTACGGATTTTTTAAAATAGTGTTTCGCCTTTTGTACATTTAAGCCTTATAAAAGGCATGAGAAGTGTGTTTTGGTGGTAAACTGAAGTCATCCTAATTCAATATACCAAACAAATTAGGCCTCCGCTGACTTCTGTCTTCTCAGAGCTACAGTGCTTTGATTGGAGCTTAGCTGGGTTATACACAGGGTAGGCATTCTGTGACAGATGCTGTGCTCTTGTGATTCTTTAAAACTGAGATGTCCTACGTCAATGCATTTTAAGACTTTGTAGAGCCTAAATATATTCGATTTGTTCATTAAGTAGTGGTAGCTGTAAACCTAATTTGTTTAGCATATTTCATAAAGACAGGCCCCAAAAATGAATGAGAAAAAAACCATGAAGTGAATAAATAACAATCACATATGATTCATACCATGTATTATTAAAAGGAGAAAAAATGATCAGAGCTGTCAAATTTTTTTGCATCTTTGTCACATGCTTCAAACGATCAAACACATTTTAATATTAGACAAAGATAAACGGATTAAATACAAAATGCAGTTTTTCAATGATGATTTTATTTATTAAGGGGAAAAGGTTATCCAAACCTACCTGGCCCTGTGTGAAAATGTATTTGCCTGCTAAAACACAACCGGTTGTGCCAGCAAGAAGTGCACTCAAGCATTTGCGAAAACTGACAATGAGTCTTTCACATCACTGTGGAGGAATTTTGGCTCACTCTTCTTTTCAGAATTGTTTTAATTCAGCCACATTGGAGGGTTTTCAAGCATGAATGGCCTGTTTAAGGACACGCCAAAGCAACACAATTGGATCTTAGTCTGGACTTTGACTAGGCCGATCCAAAACTCATTCAAAAGATTTGTTTTTTGAGTGGACTTGTTGGTGTGTTTTGTACCATTGTCCTGCTGAA